TGTTGTTGCTACTTAAGTAATTGTGTGCCTATTCGAGTTTCATTTTTGTTGATGCAAAATATTTAGGAAGACCTTGAAGCCCAGCCTGTTTATGCGCGCTCAAGTTTTGACCGAAATTCATTTCCTGTATTTTGCAGATTGAAAGCGTAAAAAAGGAAATAAAGCTGAAATAAAAACCGTTGTAGGTATATTAAATTAAACTCTCTTAAGATCTTCAGGGTTGCGGGTTTTAGAAACTAAGTTATGCATTGTACTATGCAATGAGTCTATGTAGGTTTAGAGACAATTGCTTCCAGTTATTCGCAGGAATACATACAGTGGCGCTCACATAAATAGGACATATTTATTTTTTACAATATTCACAATATGTTACGTGACAAATTTTTTTCGTAAATTTTTTATAAAAAAGATAGTAGATTCTATAGTGTTATTCATAAACCATAAAAATAAAAGTTTAGAACTTTGTTCGCAGTTCAGGAAAATTTAAAAAATTATTATTTTTTTTTTAATTTCCAACTTCATTCAGAATTTTTAGACACTTATTGGGCATGCAGTTTTATAGCCTATTCGATTTCAGTAAAAAAATTTTGAACAATCCCGTAGATTTTCGATCGCTTTTTTTTTGTTGACGATGTTGTGCACTTTCTTCTTTACGGTGATGAACAATTGCTTGAGCTCGAGAATAAGCAAAGCAAGCAGAAAAAATCTCTTGATGGTTAAAAATTGCCCGACTGGAGCGCTGCTGAAAATTACTTGGTCAAGTTTTTCGCCGATAAACCACAGAAGTTGTACACCGATGGAATTTCAAAGGGTCATAAATAGATAATAATAGATAATAGGGATGGCAGCGATTAATCATTTGATAACATTAATCGATTATTTTTGCCCAATTTAAGATTTAATTGTATCATGGTTTTGTGTTTTATTAATCGATTATTAATCGATTAATTGTAAAATAATCGTAAAAATATTTTCAAGAAATATGAGTTCTGTAGTGGTCTAAAATCCATCGATCGTACACTTTTTTTTTGTTAGCTGCATCAACTTTACTCGACCCGAGGTTCAAAAAAATGTATTTCAAGCATTGTAGTTAGCATTGGCCTCAGTAATGGAGTTCTTGCAAAATGAAATAATGTACGCAAATGATCTTAAGGAAATGGGTAGCGAGTCGTCACTAGAATCAGTAGAAAATCAGTTCGATCTATGGGCCTCTCATAAATCTCTTGTACACAAACGAAGGCGAAAGGATGATGAAATGAATTTTTATTTAAATTTTCAAGTCTTAGGCCTCCAAGCGGAATGAAATTACGAATGAAGAGAATCGATGGAATCACCGAGCAATTCTACATAGGAATTGGATAGTGGCGTCTGGAGAACGAAAGCCAAACTAAAATTTGTGAGCCAGTGTTATTGTCTCTAAAAATACTCTAGGCTAATTAACAAGAAAATTCGAAATTTTTTATGCAAGTGTTTTTGTGAATACTCACTGCAAAAAAGTGCCTTTAAAATTTTGATTAATTTGATTATTTCTCAATAATTGCAATTAATTTTTTTTGCTTGTGATTAATCATATGATTAATTAATCGATTATTTTATTTTATTTTTTGCCATCCCTAGTTGTCAATAAAGAAATTGTTCTTCAAAACTTTACCCAAACATCCGCGTAGACTTTTCATATGACTCCATCTTTCTTGTAATTCAATATTACATAAATAGAAACTGTTCCTATTTTTGTTTTTAATAAAAAACCTTTGGCAACAGGAAAATCTGAATCAAAAAAGCTAAAATAGGGCAAACGCCCTACGAAATTCTGCACTGTGATCTCTATTTCGGCTCATTCATTACCCGATTACGAACCAATTTTAAATTTTCAAATTCCATCCCTTATGTACACCGTGATAGCGCGATCCGTAGTCGCCTATAGGGAGCTGGCTTGGTTTTCGAGAGCTGCCTTAGCCAGGGTGAGACAATCCTTCACTAAACTCCAACGCCTGATAACTGTATGCATTACGTTCGATCTAAATCTTCTGAGAGTAGTCAAGATATTGAAATAAAGAATGCCCTTAACAAATTTAAATAGACATGGGAATATACAACAGTTCAGTATTATATGCGCTTTTGATCATTTTCCGTTTTAAGCTAATCTACCCCTCTATTTTTTAATGAAAATATGTAAGTGCGCGCGCGTATTTTAAACACGTTCGCAGTTTTACGCTTTTCGCCTATGAAATACGGAATATACAAAAGTTTGGTGTTTTTTTTTTGCACACACAGATCACAAAAGAATAATTCATTATTTGTTCTTTGAATCGCACTTCCGTAGTTTGTATGCAAAGGAGCTGAGTGTTTATTTTCTGCTGTACGCGTGCGCGATAATCTTTTCGAAGTTTTACGGCAGTTAAACAATGAGAAAATGTACGTATGTATACATATTTACATACGAGTACATGTTTGAATAAATGTAATTGACATAATTTTTAAATTCTCATATGAGTTTTTGTCTTGCGAAATATATATAGTAGTATACGCATATGTATGTACAGTTTGTAGGTTCAAGGACAATTTTTGTGATTTTAGAAAAAGGTTTGGTAGTGTGAATTTAGAATGAGAAGAAGAAAAAAAAACGTGATAATTGTGTGATATTTAAGTATATGCTAGGTGTTGATATGAAAACGTCATTAAGACTCATGTCACAAATCGGAGGAGCAGCTCGGCCAAACACGCAGAAAAATGTGTAACCCGCAAATATTTATTTATTTTATTTTTTATTGGAGTATGGATTAATTTTTGCAAACAGCGTCGAATGTCATTTCATTTATGAAGTTTGTTATGTAAACATAATCAGAAGTCTACAGACGGTACGTTCGAAGCTCGTTAGGGAATACCCTAATTCACTTTCGGTTGCGTGGCAATATTACTTTTTTCAGATTTGAATGCGTGCCAGGCCATATCGCACGAAACTGTGTGACTGAAGAACTGGCCAAATAATATCGCCAAGAAAAGAGAGAGTAGGAGCTCCATTGATCACTTGTGGAATTCTCGGGGAAAGATTAGCCTTGGGTCAACTCAGCGAACAGTGGGCGGAAAACCCGCGCATGTGCTATCGCGAGGTCATTCTGGTCGAAGGTGGACCGGGGACGGTCCGGGATCCGTTTAGCTTCGCGAAGCCTGATCTCTCAGTTCTGGTGGGTGTAGTGCCTAGGCCACTGTCCTATTGGGTGTTCAGGCAGTGGGATTAAATATCAAATGAAATGCAAGATGGCGGCTCAGGTATGACAAAGAACCAACGCTCACGGTCTAAGTGAAAAAAAAACATAGAAAGCCATAAAACGGGTCCAAAGTAATTAATCACTTAACTGATGTCATATTCAAAACATAATTTAAAGATCCAAATAAATGTAAAAAAAAAAACACATAAACTTCATTTCATTCGTTCAAACGATATATCCTAAGAACATTATGCCGGGTCATTTGTTTTGAGTCACCTTTTTTTATAAGAATTAGATTAGTAAACTAACATATCGCGTATGCCTTTCGTTGAGAGCAGGGATCGTGACGGTTCTGATCTTTGTAATAAAAATCAAAAAAATTCAATATTTGATTTCTATTTTTCTGATCAAATTTAACCGTTATTTTATGAGATTAATTTTTTCCAACAATTATAAATAATTTTCTAAAAATAAAAAAATTGGTACGAACGTTTTTCCAATCGTCTTCTAACACTTGAGGTGGAAAAGCAGTGCTAGTTCCGTAATCATCCTCTAATGGATAAATAAACTGAATCTTTTCTGGGTAAATAAGGCAGGTGAAAAACCCGGTATTCGAAAATTGGTAAAAATCTGGTTAAAAAACCTCAGCTTAAGCTCCTTAGAAAATAAATATGTATGCACATTAGGGTGGTCCAAAAATGCATGTGAAAAAGTATAGTCGGATTTTTATGCTCTCACCCCCTAGGATTGTTCTATACCGAAAAAAAGTATACCCCTATTTTTTTATTTTGAAATCAAAAAATAATTAGAGATCGCTCAAAGCCCAAAGTTTTACATTTTTTTTTTTTTTTATATGGTAAAAAACAACTTTTCGTAGCAATGGTATATAATTCTTGAAAATCAATATTTTTCGCTCACGTTAAACCAGCCCGACGTATATGAATGAGATTTTTTAGACAGATCAGTTATGACAAATAGTATTAACAAAAAGGATATTTTTTTGAAGAGAGTTGAAACCTTTTTTTAAATTAAAAATCAATTAATTGCCAGTTTAAATAAAATATTATAACATTGTTGGAGTCAAACGAAAGGGATTCTAAACAGATTTATTTCGAAATAACTTTGAAGAAGAGGATTGACACCTGCGCAAAGTGTTGACATCAATTTAATTAACAAGTTAAATTAAATATTTGTATCTGGGTATCAAACAAAAGGTTTAGGAAATTTATTAAAAAATGATTTTTAAGAGGCTTGCCACCTATTTTGTAGTTCAAAATCAACTTAACCAGCAAGTGAAATGAAATATTTTAATGCTGGAATCACACCAACGAAAGATTTAATAGAATTTAATTTCGAAAACTTTTTTGAAGAGGGTTACCACCTATGGTCGCCAAACGAGTGAGGTTTAAGAAAGGTCTTTTTCGGAAATATTTTTGACGAAGGTTGCCACCTGCTTAGAAATTCAAAATCAATTTTACTAAGTTAAATGAAATATTTTAACATTGGTGTCAAACGAGTGAGGTAAGCTTCATTACTAAACTTATTTTAAAGCTTTGTTTTTAAAATATTTTTGAAGGGCTTGTAACAATTTCAAAGACCCAGTTCCATTTAATGAGAGGTTAAATGAAGCATTACAATGTGGGAGCCTAAGGAAAGAAGATAAAGAAAGTTTTTCTCCTGCTGTAACATTTGACTGCATAGCCGCGGCAATAGCTAGTACTTATATATTGTAGATGCTCCCTTTTCAAGTTTTTACTGATTTAATACCCTAACTATTTCTTCTCATTTCAGCTGCTAATTTCGAAAAATGCAAACGTGATGAAAATTTCGATAAATGCCTTGTTGATGCTGTGAACGGTGCGATTCTGCTGCTCAAGGATGGTAAAATAACTTCATAAAATCTTTTGTAAAATAAAGAGAATTAACGTTTAACTATACACAGGCAACAAAGAGTTCGGTATACCACCGCTCGAGCCACTCACTGTGAAGTCGTTGGTAATCGATTCTGGTAATGCGCCTATTACGCTGAAACAGACCTTGAAAAACTTACTCGTACACGACATGATCTCCACCAGCAAAGTGCAGCGCTATCGGTAAGATCCTTTAATACATATATACATATATGCATTTTAAACTACATAAAAAAACAAATAACAATTATTACTTTCTCTTTTTTCCCCTTTCCAGCACCGATCTGAACAATCACCTAATTGTTTGTGACAGTAAAACCGATCGCATTGAAATGGTTGGCGATTATGAGATGTCCGGCCGCATATTGCTGCTACCCATAACTGGTAATGGCAAAGCCAATATGACGCTGATTAACACCCACATCGAACATCGGCTCATCGGCGAACCTTTCATGCGCGATGGCGTCAAATATATGCGACTCAAGGAGTATCGCGTCGATCTGAATCCCAAGCGTGTCTATATGCAATTCGATAATCTCTTCAACGATCGTTTGTTATCGCAGACAATGAATCGATTCTTGAACGACAACTGGGAGACGGTTTTCAATGAGCTGAAGATTGGCTATGCGCGTAGCTTTGGTCAAATTTTCCGTGATATTTCGAATAAGCTGTTTGAGGAGATACCATTCGATTCGATATTTCTGAGTTCTTGAAATGCGCAGTGCGTAAAAGAGGGGACTACATGAATGATTGCAGCTGGAGGAGTGGTCAAAGCTTGAGTATTTTCTTTTAGTATTTAATAAAAATTGTTAAGGTTTATTATTTAGTGATGTGTATGTAGGACTATATGTATATTAGGGTGCTTTTCTTCGAGACAATTTTTTTTTCATTCCCACCTAGACATTGTGGGAAATACCTATAAAAAGTCCTTTTTCTTCTACAGCTCAGAGGTATTTTTTTATGGTATAATTTTGGTCAAGGATAGAGTTTCTTCAGAATTGAATGCTCTACAAAAGTCTCCATTGCGGCGTAATTCTAACCCGCGCGGGCGAGGTAGTACGTACGGGTCCTAAACCCAATTTTTTTGGTGAAATTCTCGTTTTTTTTTTGCCCCTATCTGATAAATAACAAGAGCTACAGAAAAAATGTAAATAAGAAAGTGGTAGGAAATTCAATTTCGACATTCCTTGAGATATTGGGAGCGAAAAAAATTGTCGCGAAAAAATCACCCTAATGTACCTATATGTATGTGAGTTGATTGAGTTATTCTGGAATTTATTATTTTTTAGTTTTGTAAATATGTATGTATTTGTAAGTTGATTAACTTAGAAATTGAATTGGTAAGACATTTAAAAATAAATTAATAAAAAATAAAATATTTAGTACTATGTATGCACATGAAGATAGTTACATATTTGGTTTTCCGTGAAACATTTTTTTTGAAGCATGTTCTCCCAGCCGTCTATGTACCCATTAGAGATGGCGTTTTTAAAACGATTAAATCGAGCTCTGCCGATTCGACTTTTTGTCGATTATTTCATTCCGATTCGATCCGTGAATCGATAAAAAAAATCGAGAATCGATATTAGACCTTTTACCTCAATCCATAAAATTGTAAAGAAAATTGATTTTGTGACTGGTACAACAAAAAAAAAAAAAACAATGGAGGGGGCTTAGCACTCCCCACCTTGCCAACTTGAGGTTGCCACTTATTTTCGATTCTACACAATTTATCTAAAACATCCCAATATGGATATCAAATGAAAGGTATTTCTGAGGACTTTGGCCAGAAAGTATAAGTTATGGTGGAACAACAGAGCATATACGACTTCGTCTGCTTATCGGAAACACATTTTGCCACATACATAAGAGGATGAAGAGCTATATCTTCCCAATTATAGAATTCACGGAAGTGACAGCGATTCCAAACACACTGGCGGTGTTGTAGTTTACGTGAATAAGTCATGTGAAGTGCTAGCGACAGAAGTGGAAACTAAATCGAGAGTCTTTTGGTGGCTTTCGATAAAATTATGCCGCAATAGCAAATATCTTCAGCTAGTGACACTGTACCGATCCCCCAATAAGGTAACTTCCTTCCCCGGAAAGTGCTTTTTGCAATTTTTTTTAGGATAAGCTAGACTTGCTCTTAGAAACTTAGTGCTATTTTCCATTTTTGTATTTTACTAAATTTGTTTTCGTATGTAAACAAACAACGGCTGTAATTTCAAATTAAGTTTATTCGTCGAGCGAAAAATTTGTACGAATTTGTACGAATTATCATAATTTTTGCCCAAATCGCGTTCGTGCAGACCAAAAGATTATCCATCACTCAAAAACTGAGAGCGCAAAGTGACAGTTCTCCTGAGAGAAGTTGCAAACTCTTGCTGGAAAATTTTTAACCTATGGAGTTCTACCTCAACCCATTTTTCTAGAGTGAAGAATGCTTTCTGGGCTGTTTTGGGCAAACGCGGGATCCCACGGGCTCGTGTGGATCAAACCTAATATGTCCACGTTGCAGGATTCTAACCTGATCAAACGTCCTCCTTTGAGGAGGATTGTCCTGTTCAAAAATATTTTCCTTCTCTGTCCTCCTTTTGAGCAAAAATATACTCCTTTTTACGGCCCTATTATGGTTGTCGACGTCGACCGCGATGTCATTTTCTCATCAACAAATAGCCCTCGTAAGGAACACCTTTCCTCAAAAATATTGTAGTCAGCGTAGCTGGAGTTGGACTTACGATGCATACTTTTTGATGCAAAAATTACAGTTTTTGATGCAAAAGTTGGAGTTTTTTGTTTTAAGAGACGCTTAAGAATATTAAACATGTTAATGATGTTGCTGAACGAGGTATAGCGTTGCTAAAAAATTATAATCGAACTTTGACGAAAGACGAAGAACAAAACCAATTACTCTTGCAAGTAACACAACTAATAACAATTAAATAATTAAAAAAAAAAAATAGTTAAAACTTGTTAATACCTATGTGGCGGTCTTCTAATTACGCAACGCATTGTACTATTAACCTGTTTTACTTCTCTTTAGAGAAACTGTGAATTGTTAACTTAATTGTTATTTATGTACTTATGTATGTATTAAAATAAATAAAAAAATGTTTGTGTTTTCAGTGTGAAGATTTTGTCTTCCTGGAATGTTAAAAATTCTGGTCACCTTAAGGATCCTCGAGTGAATTTTCTCTTAAAATCTCCGCGATATAGGTTACTGCATTTGCATATTTATTCCGTGCTTCCGCAGCCTTCTCTCATATTAACCTATTGGTAGCAGAGTTTCTGAATAATCGAAGAATCCATAAATCGGATTTTTTGTCAATTATGTGTGCCATGGGATGCCATGAGTAGATATAGCTCTATATAAAGCTCTCTGGCAATACATACAATTTATCTGTGTTGATCATGTGTTCACTAGGCTATATTGCGAAAATTATTTTGAAGCAATGGATGAATTTAATGTAAATGCCGGTGATTCCTGCAGCGATTTAGGGTCTGCAAACAATTTTCTACGTGTTTCCATCATTCGTGTTGCTAAAATTCGTTTGGGAACATCCACTGCGAGGCCCTTCTTGACTTTGAAAAGTTCAGAACTGGAACGATGAATCCGCCTGTATACCTAGCTAATTGTTAAATAGATTCAAACAGGCGAACTCTGGCATTTAGGGTTGGCACGTCAAAAATCTAAAGTCCCCGGGCTAACTGTCCCCTTTTCTATGAGGAGTTAAAACCATTTGACGATCAAACTACATATCGACGACAGTGTGGAAGATCGACCTATCTCGGACGCCTGTTCGAAAACGCTCTAACTCAGAATTTGATTGAAAATATTGCTATTTTAGAATTTGTTCAATTGCGCTTTATCTTAGCTGCCGATAATTTGATTTTTTATTGAGATATGACGTTCTTGCACCATTTATGGAAACAGACAAAGTTGTACCGGAAATAACATGACTTCCAAAACTGCCCAAAAGCGGTTACTACTAAACATTTTTGTACCATGTGGATGTAGGTATTACTATTATGTATATATAAAATCTCTTAAAAATACTATGTACTCACCGGACTTACGAATTTTGGAATACACCAAAGAAGTTATATAACCCCTTACCGTTGCACAGATTTTTATAGATGATGGCAAACGCTTTCATTATCGTTGTGAAATTTTATTTGCACCACAAAACTTTGTTACAACCACGCACTTTACTTGTATTGATAGCAAACACAATGGTTACAACCACGCACTTTACTTGTATTGATAGCAAACACAATGAACTAAGCAATTCACTAAACTAAAACCATGCTTTTTCACTTTTAAATCAATTTTTCATTGAAGCACAAACTTTTAAAAAACGAAGCTACGGTTTATTACCGCCACAAAACTTTTCTTCATCAAATGTTCAAATCAGGCAGAATCAGCTGTTCGCGCGAGTATAACACTTTTCTTAAACTCGCCGCAAATACAACACTGGAATGCACTGCCGGAAGTATAGGGCGTACAAGAATTTCCATTTCCAATTTGCTTTCGGCAAAGTATTCGCACCATTCGCTGCTGTTGAGAAGTGTTCGGACTCGTATTACATTGTGGTAGATCAGCCACTTCTTTGAGCATCTACCACATCTACCACTCAAGGTCTGAAATCTACCAAACATTCGCGTTTGTTTTATTTTTGCTTGACATAATTTTCTTAATTTTAAGTGAAAAAATTGGCCAACACTAAGCACTAAATGGTAACAAAAGAATGATATAACACAAGATTCCGCATTCCCTGCGACGATGAAATTCTAAACCAATAGTAAACAAAGCCGAATGGGAGGATAAAATAAACTGTAAAATAGTAAAATTTCTCAGTAATCAATTTTTCGACAGAAAATGCGGTTTGTTGTGTTAAATTGCGAAATATTTGACTTATAAAAAGAATTAATAGCGAAAATGTTAAAAAGGCGATTTTTGTGAAAGTATTAGCAAATTTAAATGCTTCTAAGGTTTCTGAAGCTTCGTTTACTATTACTTGAGAATTGTCAAAATCGGCAAATCCCAATTAACTGTCTCTGGAACGTGCTTCATTTGTTCGCTACTTCGTGATGTGATAAAAAGAAAAGCTGGTAGCACACCGCAAGGTTGCAGAAATCTATTAAAATATGTTCGAAAAATATCTTAATATGGAAAGAACTGCTTTACACTGTCAAGGAAAAAAATTGCCAAAACTCAAAGCAATTTTTAGCAACTTCAATCTTGCACTTTATTATACTAAAATAAAATTTTTTTAGAGTCTAATTGCAGAATTTTTTAAATTTTTGTACAAAATTTTATCCAAACCCAGAGATCCACCACATTTTTTTGAAATCTACCACATTTTTTTCCAGATTCTACCACACAGAATTTTTTTGGGAGTCCGATCACTGCTGTTGAGTTGGTTCTTCTTTTTCTTCTTCAGTTGGCTCATTTCGTTTGTGTGTTTCTCTTGTGTTTTTCTTGTGCACGGAGTTTCTGATAGTTGCAAATCGGTGAAATTTTAAGAAAAACTTGTTTTAATCGATAAAATTACAAACTGTTAGTAAAAATAACCCGAGTAAAGGAACGCGCTGTCGAAAATGTAAGTGAAAAAGTGTTGGGTGTAGCCGAAACTATAAGGAAAAAAAATGTAAATTTTGTGCCAGTGAAATCGCAAAAGGATTTGGCGCTAGTGTCTGAAAAAATAAGAAATCGAATAAAATACCAGTAATATTTGCATTCACAATAACAAAAAACGTCATCATTCAATAATAAATTATTGAATCTTGCGAAAACAGTTTATTGAAAGTATGCAGCCATATGAAAAAAGCAATCCCGAAAATCAATTTTTCACTGTCTGTCGATTAGTGCAAGCACAATCAACGCAACACTGAAGCTCAGCAAGGTAACCCGTATTGAGTGGAATACTTGAAAACGACTACCAAGTGGAAAAAATACAAGTTTTGTGAGTCATTGCAAACGTGCTATAAATTAATAAATTCTTGGCCAACGTCTAGAAACTTATTTGCATAAAAAATATCGAAAAAAATGCTGACATCGCCCTGCAGCAAATTCGCTCGCAAATTCGGCGGCGCTCCTCCGGTAAGCTAGTACTTGCGTGCATACGAGTGGGTGTGTTTGTTTTTTCGGATTGTTGTTGCGCGCAAGCCCGTTCAGACGTCGACCGACCACAGCCTTTTGCCAATCTAACGACCTGGTCGGCTGCTTCCGGAATAGCTTTTCGGCAAAAATTTAGTTCCAAAAAAAGTTTGCAGCAAAGGAAGTATAAAGAGTTAAGCGGCAAAATAAATAAAACGCTCACTTGATTATCGAAGCGAAAGGTGTTTTAGGAAACCAAGAAGTGGGTGGGGGGTGCGCCGCTGAGGTCGTTCGACTGCGTCGACTGAGTTTCCATTTGTTTTTTTTTTTTTTTGATTCGTGCAGAGCAAAAGGACGTAAAAAAGAAGAGCGCAAAGAGGTAAACACCAAAAAAAAAAAAAGAAAAACAAAATAAATGTACCGTTGCCCGAGCGTTGTGAGCGGTAGAGAACAACAATAATTCATTAAAATTATTTGTGTTCACTGAAGCCATCTTATCAGCTAGAAATACAATTAACTTTTATCTTCCTGTTTGCTGTGTACATATAAAAAGAAGAAAAAACACTTAGGGGATTCCCTTAAACGCGAAGAGCAGAAAACTCGAAAACCTCGAAAGTTTTCGAGGCTGTTTTTGGGAATGCACCTTTTTTCAGCCTCGTAAACAATGGAGAAATTCCGAAGTTTGACAGCTCATTCAGAGTTTTTTGTATAATGGGCTGTTTTTGCTTACGCGTAAAAGCACATTNAATATTTTACATTCTTGTGCTTTATTGGATTGTTACCTTTTTTCTTTTGCTTTGTTTTTCCTCTATTCTTTGTTGTCTGATTTCAACGCTCATTTGCTTGCACACTTTTTCTGTTTCCCCTGTCAGTGGTGCGTTGCCGTTCGTGGTGAATTTTTGTTACATTTTCTATGCCTATGCTTTGTTATTGAAAAACGATAGGACAAATCACACTTTTTCATTTAAAAGGGGTAAAAGGACCAGTTTTTAGTGCCGGTTTAAATTAAACTCTGTGTGTCATTTACGGGGACACTTTCCTAAAAGGGCGATGACCGGTGGAGGTAGGGGCGTGGCACCTACCACCCCCTCTTTACAGAGTGCATGGACCGCCGTTCACAAAAATGCAACCCCCGGCAGCCTTGGCCACCTATTTGAACGGTTGCTGTTTTGGCCGAAATGTACCATGTTTGCTAAATTTTTTCTAGTTGTGGTATATTGGTGCATAACTTTGACTCGGTGAGTGGAACAAATGTATTGTGGGACTGCCCATGTATCAGAGGTCAAAGTCTCTTGCACTTCTTGGAGCGGTTATCGTCTCCGTCCAGGATCTGGCACATGACACCCTCTAAAATCCTTAATTTCATATATGCCCAGGGGTTAGAGTGAACTCCTAAAGGACCAGTACGATAGATGTAACTAAATAGGTCGATTTTATTTACAAAAATAATAATACCATCTACTGAGTTTAATAATAATAAAAAAAAATATTTTGTTCTTACTACATACACAGTACATATTTTAATATCTATTTGATATACGTTCTGTATAAGTTAACTAAAAATGACATTTCAAACAGGTGGCAATCATCTTAAAAATATTTCCAAGCTACACAAAACGTTCTCTTTCATCTGACACCCAAATCGTAATCCATATTTCATTTCGCTAACAGTCTCAATTTAAGTTTATTTTGATTTTTTGGAAAGGTGGCAACCTCCTATATATTTTCAGAAATAAAGCCCCTTTAAACCCATTTCGCTTGATACCCACATTTTACTAATTCATCAAACTTATTCAATCCACTTTTTAAACATCTGGCAACCCTTTTGAAACATTTCAAATGCTCAAACTAAAGGTTTCTTAACACTATTTCGCTTAACACCCGTATTTTAATATTTCATATACATATGTATGTACATACATCACCTGTGTATACACCCAGCGACAAAATACAGTGACTCAAACAAATGACCACGTGTCGATTTTCTTCAAATATTCGTAATGTTTTTCGAGCTAATTTTTTTTGTTATTTTTATATAAAAATATCGTCTATGCTTGAACCAAAACCGTGTAAATCACAGTTTTAAACTGTATATAAAATTTAAGAAAATTCAACAAATTTTCATCAAAATTTCAACCTTTTATACTGAAAGTAGCTTCTTAAAAAAAATTTGTCAAAAATCGCTAAAATTGTATGGGCAATAAAACTGTATACAAATTCAGATTGAAAAGTTGAAATTTTGATGAAAATTTGTTGAATTTCCTAAATTTTGTACAAAGTTTGCAACTGTGATTTACACGGTTTTGGTTAAAGCTTAGACGATATTTTTATACAAAAATAACAATTAAAAAATATAGTTCGAAAAACATTACGAATATTTGAAGAAAATCAACACGTGGTCATTTGTTTGAGTCACTGTATAACACCTCAAGCTTTTTACCAGTTTTAACTACTTTTCTCTAGCTTTTTTTTAAGGTTCATCACTTTTATACAAAAGTATAGCTCTTTATCCAAAAGATACCATATAAATCTAAATTTCAGACTTTGCACAATGCAATAAAAATTCCCACACTTTTCATCCCAATTCCAAGCATTTTAATTTTAATTTCTATAAAAGATTTTGCAATGCAGTTTTATAGCTTATTAAATTCTAGTATAATAAAGTGCAAGTTTGAAGTTGCTAAAAAATCGCGTTGATTTTTGATTTTTTTTTTCTTTTCCATATGCGACAATGCGCGATATCGTCAGCAAAAAAAAAAAAAAATATCAAAAATCAACGCGAGTGTTTAGCAAACCAAATTTGACACGGGATGACGGAAATTCGTTCCAAAATACCTCAAACGAAAATTGCCAAAACTGGCAAAAATATTGATGTGCTATCTTTTTTCGCGGGTGTAAATTAATTAAATTCGACTTCCCATGTGGCAAACCCCTAAATATAGTTCAGGAATAAAAAATTTTAAAATCAATTTCGATTGATTTCAATATTTTACAAATTAGTTTACCTTAATAAATAATTTGAATTAAATTTGTTAAACGGGTGTCAACCCTATTTAAACACCTCACCAAACTAAAACCTACTTAAACCGCTGTCATCCGGCAACCATAATGTGATGACTATTTCACTTATCTAATTCCTTAATTGAAATTGAATTTGATTTTTTTTAACAGGGTTGCACCCGCTTACATGTAGTTAACAATACAATTTTTTCAAAACCATTTCCATTGATACCCATATGGTACTAATTGATTTAACCTATCTTATTGCACATGTATAGCCCTAGCCCTTTAATTTGACACCTCACTTTTGAAAATCGAACGAAGGAAGGCACAGTGGTCGAACAAGTCATGTGTTACGCGAAAAATGAGAAGGGCTGTTACGTTCAGTTTTTTTTGCGGAGAACACCTTTCCGCTTTAGCTGCCTTCGATCGCTCTTAGAAAAAATAATCCTCATCCATCTAAAGGGATTTTGGAAAGCGCCAAACTTTGCATTAATATTTCGCTTATTTCAGTATTACCATAGCCTTGCTGAAGCAGGATTTAGCCTTCACAACACATTAACCGTTAATTTAATACCAATTTTTTATTGCAGTTCTAAATTACCATATTTCGACTTACATAAGTATTGAGATGTTAACAAAACAAATATTTATGTTTAAAGATCGACTGCCTCGGTTGAAAAGAGAGAACAACTTGATATCGGCAGAAGTAAAATGCATAAAATTACCAAAACTGTAGTATTTTATGTCTAACTATTTTCTAAGTTCATTCGACTGCTTATCATCGAGCAAAAAACATACTTCTTGTGAATACAGTTTCGATAGAATATTTCTCAATTGAATTCAATTAGCCGGGCTAATTAAGTGCAAAAATTTTAAGTACATTTTATTAGCGGATGCAAGCATATGTACATTAGGCTGATCCTTAAATGTAGCAAGCTATGCTACTATAGTCGAAGATATTACATATAATTTTTGGTCCGGACTGAAGGGGGTTAAGGTGTGTCGCACAGGGGGGCAAAGTTCAGATTCCTCAATGTAGACTCATAAAATCCAAAAAAATTTTTTTTCATCTGATACCCAAAATCGGTACTACTTTAGTCGAAGATATAACATATAAATTTTGGCTCCATATGGAATCGGTTAAGGCGTTCGCAAAAAATATTACTTTTTGTACAAATAATTTTGTATAGCAATTATTTATGGATGTAGTGGTGGAAAAATAAATACGCCACATTTTAACTAGTTTTTGTTTTTTTTTTTCGTTTATTTAATGTTTACCATTTTTTGTAATAAAAATACAGCAAATCATTTAACAAAAACCATATGAATCCGAATTTCAAAGTTTCTGCAAAAATTATAAAAACTCTGCAAAGTTTCATCTAAGTTGCAAACTTTTTCATTCGAATTTCTTGAAAGAAATTCGGTATGCAGTTTTATAGACGTTTAAATTTTAGTGTAATAAAGTGCAAGTTTTAAGTTGGGTTTATTGTGCAATTTTTTTTTAAGCTAAATTAACTGGGGACTACTGTACTACTTCTCTATTTATCTTTATTTACCAAAAATGCGCAACGTCGAAAATGTTAGCCGAAAATCAGTACTTATACGCCATAATGTACATACTTATGTATTTTAAGCCATTACTGGAAATCCCTCAACCGTGAATCGACCAAGTTAAACTCATAAAACCTGCACTAATTTCAGCTTTGAGTAATTTGATAATTTTGGCTTTCTATTTCATGCATATTTCCAACGATTTCAAAAGAGTTTTCTTTTGTTCACACCTAATTTTCCTTTCTGGTGCAGTTGAAGAATGAAAAAAGAAAATAATAAAATAAATATGTGTAAAAAAAAAGATAATTTACT